CAGAACTTATTCTCCTAGACTTTAGAGAAGCTTATCTAGCGTCGCAGGCAATATATCCAAAATGTCAGAGTTTCTAACCAAATTCAGTTAAAATCGCTCAACTGAAAAAATTTAACTCCGTGAATTAAGGTCGCTTTTCCTGCAAGCGGCAAAAACTAACACGGATCACACGGTTCAAATTCCGGAAATTATTAAGGATTAAGGCAACCCGACTTTCAAAGCCATAACACATAACTTTCAGCATCATTTGAAAGCTCTTCAGTAGAACCTGTAACCCCGAATCGACCCATCAACATACCGTCGATGATATTTCGGCACACTATCTCTTTTCCTTGGATCATTTAGTCAGAACGCCGCCTTTTGGAATTTTAATTTTTATATTCTCGAGTATTTTGGTCAACCTAATCGCCCATTCTAACATTTTTTCCGTTTTAAAATTTTCCATATCGAAAACATCCGAAATTCTAGTTACAAGACGCGAGTGATTCCATAAAAGTCCTTCCTGTCAGTCACCAGTGCTCTTAAAAATTCCTACGTTAGGTCACATTGTTGACCCGGGATGGTTGACGTCATACTTCGCGGGACGCTAAGAAGCTTAGTTGGGCGTCATACAATATTGGGACAAATACATTGTTTATTTATGTAGCTTCAGAATTAAAATTTTTAGATTTATTTTGCGATATCGCGTGGCGTGAACGGGAAAATAAATCATATCAATAACTGTTAATGGGTCAGTTACGCTGGTCATAGAATCGTGTTTTGATGATTGATTCTTGTAGATTAGCTAAAAGTAAACAGATCTGTCCAAACAGCAACTTTATACTTTCAATATCAACCGAGATATCGCGCTTTAAAAAAATTGGTTTATGACGTCATCCACCACGGTTGTAACACTCTTGGTTTCTTCCACCATGCTTTCATCTGAGTTTCACGTTGCATGACCAGTGAAAATGTGTGTCTCCTTGGCAAACGAAAGCAAGATGGAAGAAACCAAGGATGTAACTCTAATCGCATTCACCAAAATTATGGTAGATGCTATAAGATTTTTGGTCATATTTACCCTACACTCCCAACAGTATGACTATAAAGAATAAAGTATAGACTTATGATAGAATAAGTAATTTGCAAGTGTCTGAAATGTGATGAATTTTATTAATGAGTGGAAATTACGAAGTGAACTGGGCTCAAAAATATCCTCGGTTTGCAAATTGAACGATTAATGAAGAAGTTATGACATAATAATCTAATCTGTTGATAAATGTGTGTTTAAACTGCATGAAAATGCCGCCGTGTGACATCATAAGACAGTACACTTTCCCACTTTTAAATTTTCTTTTCTCTGATTTCCTACATCGAGAAAAACTGTGTATAACTATTCACTCAGCGCATATGATCATGCGCAATTTCATATGATGCAAGAAACATTTGCTATGCAAATTCTTCATTTACTGTACTTCTGGTAGGTAACATTTCTCATACCTTTTTGTCAGAGTGGCCAGTGGTGGGCGGGTGGGGGGTCCAATAGGGTCTAATAACTGGAAAATTTTCCGCAAAAACGCGGAATTTTGTGATTTTCAGGAATTACCGTAGGACCTCCCCCCTCCCCTCCAAAAAAAAAAGAAATAGATCATCACAAAAACCCCCCTCCCCCCCAGGAAAAATTTCTGGCCACGAAGAATGATCAAAAGCAGAAGTCGCCCCTCCTCTATATCCACAACTTGAACTTCGGTTCTACGCAAGTTCGAACCGCAAACAAATTTTTCTATACGGGCAGGAAAAATACTCGGAAACGAACGCAAGGGACGCTACCGGATTCAAAGGCAGCGCGAGAGAGAGGGGAACATAAACAACTCCTTGTTAGTCGAGCGTTTACAGGAAAGAATCGGTTTGTGACGTCAGGAGCCTTGGTATAGAGCAACTAGACCACGCGAGCCATCTCTAGTCGTACCGGACAGCTTGGTGTGCCAGACACGTGTGGCAGCCGTGTTTCAGTTTCCGCGCCAGCGTCGAGCTGAAATTGCTGGAATCTGCTGGAATCGAATTTGTCGAGCGGGCCGTGGAAGCTTCTCTTTGAAATTTTAGGATCCCCCTCCGAGGAGCGGGACAGTGTTTCGTGGAAAGTGATTTAGCCCGCGAGATAGTTGTGTCGGTTTTTATAATTCTTGAGTGCGAACAAACCATAATTGAACAATCAAATCCTCAAATGCACTGAACGGAAATCGAAGGATTTGTGTAACCGGAGTAAAGATTTGTTTCAGTTTTGGTTATCTCGCCATATTTTCACCAATCGTGTACAAACGCTATTCTTTTCTTGGAGTCTCACACTGTATCCGAGATTGTTTCTGACCTTAGAATACAAAGGAAAATTCACTATGGAGCAGTCACTCTCGGTGCAATTTTGCTGAAATTCCCGATTTGCTTGTCGGGACAAAAGAGTCGATTCTTTCTTGCTAGCTTCGACGCGCCAAGTCCCTGATCAAACAGTCATAACAACGCAATCCAACTTGTGAAAAGATATTTAGATGCTCAGAAATCTTGTGTCTGAGTTTAGAAATTCTCGGAAAAAACTTGCCCACTCAACGAGAATAAAAGTAATTCTTTGCAGAATAGTCAGTTTTTAATTCTTTGCGCGGGATTATCCGTTTGAATTTGTGCCGCAATGTTTTGTTTATTTTCCTGGTGATAGTAAACATTGGCGAAGTTTTGTTTGAGCTCAAAAGTGCTTTCAAACAAGTGTGAGAAAGAAGTGTTTGTTTTTCGGATCGAAGTACCGCATTGTTTTCTCTCCGTTTTGCTTTTTTTCAATCGGGAAAAATTCGCTTACAAGTGCGGCAGAAAATAGTCACGCGACTGCTACAGTGCCCACGTGGAAAGCAGCTTACTTCTGTGAAAATTTTCATGTGGCTAATGTGGCTAAATGAAGTACAATCTAACTGTCGATTGCTAAAAAAAACAGTAGAAATATAGCTTTATAGTTTAAAAACAAGCTGAAGAACAGTGTTAGAGCCAATTCTGTTTAATACTTTTTATAGCTTTAAATTATAAAAAACTTGAAAAATAGTGAATATTTGCGGCTGTAAATCAGAAAAACTATCGTTTATGTGAGCAAACGCTACCATTTTGCTGCGTCTTTCGCTTGTTTTTTCCGGTATAGCGTGTTTTATGTGCATCACCTTCGAAAAGGATAAAGGCAGAAGTGTTGGATACTTTTTATCTTTTCTAATTGGAAACCGATACCTTTTGAACATCCTAATTGCCTGGAAATATTAGTTAACCTTATAATTTCAAGTGAGTAATAACGTCAAAAGTAATGTTTTTTAATTTCATTTGTAGCGCAATTTTTGCACTGTTGACAACCACTAGAGACTAGAATAGGCGACTAGTGGGCTAGATCAGTTCAAATAGCATGTCATCTTTGTACCTGAAGAGAAGAGATGAATTGCACGTATTCCTGCCAAACGGATTTATGTGCGCATTAAGACATGAACCTTGAGACTCATAAGGATACATGCATAACGGGGCTCACGTCATAATGCACATAGTTCCGTTTGGCAGAAATACGTCCAATAGGCCTCGAGCATGCCCTGAAATCCTATCGCGTTCCTTGTGAGTTCACAATCAGTCAACACAGAAAGCCCAAAATTTCTGGTTGGTGATACCTTTCACGTGCCGTTATGTCGGGCGGAGCAACCAGTCGTTTGATCCGATCTTATTATATTTTGATAATCTATAAATTTTAACCATCAAAACGCGATTCTGTGACCAGGGCAACTGATCCATTCTTGTGGCGAGGCGAATCGGAACCTGCCAAAGGTTATCGGTCAAGCAAAAAGAGCCTCGAGTACGAAATTTCTCACTTAACTGTTCCCTTTTTTGGCGATTTGAATAATGCGAGTGGGTGCGACAGCTGCGAGGAATTCGATGTGTTCAATCTGTATCGAGTTTGGTTTCGAAGACGGGATTGATAAAATTCAGCTCATTCGATTTGCATAAGCTCGCGCGGAGCAGAAAACACCGCTCCATAATGCACATTGTCCATCAGCTAAACAGTTGACGAAAATGGCGAGGAACTCCGACAAAATCAACGATATAAATTTCTGACAGCTGTTACGATATTTGTGATCTCCCACGGAGACAGGGACTTTGGTCCAGAGAAACTTAAAATTCAGTTGTTGTTACCAAAACATACGTCGGATGAAATTAGCAAAATTGCCGCCAAGTTGCAATTCACTAATGAACAAATAGAATAAACATAAAATTCAGAAAAAGGAACAAACCAAGTAGCATTTCTTAACGGAAAATCGCTATATATTGCGATTTTATCGGCGATAAAATCGCCAGGATCATCAACATCTGAGCGATTGCCCTCTATCTTATCGCGATAAAATCGCGCTTTTATCGCTCTACAATTTATCGTGATATTTTTGAAATAAGAATCGCGATAAATGGCGATTTAATCTCGATTTTATCGACGAAAATTAATCACAATTTTACCGAACCAAAAATTGCGGTGTGTAGCGATTTAATCACCATATTTTTAATGCGATAATATCTCGATATATTGCCACCAATATAATCGCGATAACCAACCCATAAAATCTCTGTTTATCGCGATCACTGCTACTTGAGAATATTAGAGTGCTAATTTTGTTTGCCTTTAATGTGAACAGACACTTTTTCCCTCGTAAAAACTTGGTGAGAGCAGTCACGCTTAGGAAAATCATTACCCTTCTCGAGTTTAGATCGGACAGGCAACTAAACTAACTCCAAGACAAAGCGTGGAGTATCACGAAAAATGAAGGCGCTCCAAGCCGTTACCCATCAAACCTTCATAACGGTACTCCGCAAAGTGTGCCTCAGAGGGTGCAGAGCGCTCTCCAGGGTTGGACCGCTCGTACTCACATCTAGCTACTAACCTCCTAATAACTGTTTATTATGTCAGAAATGGATTGTATTGTATTATCAAACATTTAATCTCCTATGTTCTACTTCTGTTCCAGACTGAATACTATCGGGATTCATGCCAATTCAAACGGATTGGAGAAGGACCTGGTTATCGCCTCGAAATTCCAAATGTTCAACTAGACCACACCGGAACTTACGCCATCTACGCGTGCAACCCCTATGGCGAAGTTAAAGCAGTGATATCCCTCCAAGTTTTCGCCAAAGGTAATAATGCATGTCACTAGTCCTTCTTTAACATTCACTTCACTTACTCGATACATCATAATTTTCTCCTCTAAGCTCATCTTTGATTCTCGTTTTTTGTCATGGTTATATTTGGTGACCACAGATCTATTCGGCTGTTTTCTATGTTCCCCGGCTATTTTCCGTCAAGTTATCTCATCATAATTATGACGGAATGGTCACGGAGGGGGTTGACTTTCGAAACAGCCAGGGTGTTACCTCAAAGAATATATACATAAATACCTTTTACCCTTTTAAATAGAGTATCTAGGTACTCGTGGATTCCTGATCATATAAATTCTCTTAAAGATCAAATTGACGTACTTTTTCAGGTAGAAGTTACAATTATTCTGGCTCTTCCGTAAAAACACTTATGTGCACAGGGAAACTAATGGTACATACGTTGTCTCTAAACTAAGCCAGAAATTTTAATCCCGAATTGCAAAATGAAGTCCAAATTGTAGCCACTTTTGATACCATTTGCCAACTTTTGACGATCATTGCCCATTTTTTGCCATATTACGTGGCTTCTTTGACGTAAGAACGTATCGTGATTTACACATAAGCCCCGGAAACCGGGGAGTTAAATAGTTAATAGGGATCATCCCAAAATAAATTTTAGAGGCTTGTAGTGGAACAATTCTTCTCGAGCATAACCCAAAATCTTGGTTATTTAACTGAACAAAGACGCTCTACCACGCAATTTAGTTATGATACTTCAAATAAACTGAACCTCACTCTATGTAATTCCCATTATTTTAGGGATAATTTTCCACGACTTTTGTTATATTAAGTTTATTTATCAATAACGATGATCAAGAGTTCTACAATCTTGTATGTTGCGTTTCAGGTCAAGGTAAAGAGGGCGAAAACGGAATGGACCGCAGCAGTATTAGACATGGGTAAGCATAACTTTAAGAAAAATCATGAAAATACTTTTAGCCGTTTCCGAGTTGGCGTGATCGCAAAATCCTAGGTCTCCAAAAATACAAAGAGAACCAGGCAGTATGCGCGCACACTACAAGTTTTAGTCTCCCTGTGTAAGCCTGGAAACCGTTCACTCCCAGATTTTATCTCCCCACATTTGTCTCATCATTCCAGACGTCATATAGATCTTAAAAATAGGGTAACCTGTACTTCGATTGCGGTTATGCCCGTTGTCAGTAATTTGTTCGAGAGACTATCACGAGGTATTTTAGCAAAGATTATTTTTCAAAAAATATTACTGAACACTTCTGGCTGAAAATTTCAGTGAATACTCCGGAGGAGTACGTAAAGAAATATCTCACAAAATTCTGTGAAATTACCGTGAATAGTTATCGACAGTATGAAAGTTGGCAACCACGTATCTCGGTTTGCGACGTTGTAGACTTACTTTATTTTTTAAATAGAAAACTACTCAACGGAAATTCTTAAAAACTGCCGTGATTTTTCTGCTCTGTACGAAGACAATTCTACGCAAACTTCAAGGAATGATGCGCATTCGCTCCGATTCGTTCGATTCAAGAAATAAAATAGGAGCGGATAATTTGAAACACCGCAAGTGAGATACGTGGTCGCGGAATTTCACCGCCGCAGTCCTTTAAGTAAGTTGAAGAAGACATGAAAACGATCATGCAAACTAAGACTTATTGGTTCGCATTTTTATCATTACTATATTTTGTTGTTATCTGAAATATAGCATAGAGTTGAGCGCAGTGGGAAGGAAAATCTTTAGGAGAATCAAACATTTTTGGAGACTATACAATATGTGTTGTCGAAAATTTCCTGCGTGTCACCTCCTAGTAAGCCTTCAATATATTTTACTTACATTTACTCGGAATATTATATCATAAGTTCAATTGTAATTTGCTATCTCGATTCAATCTGCATTTTCTCTTTTATTCACAGACCAGTACAAACAGCCCCAATTTTCATCCGAAGATTGAAAGATATAAGATGCTGCGATGGGGATTCGGTCGTTTTCGAATGCGCTGTCCGAGCTGAGCCTAGGCCAGAGATTAGATGGGAAAAAGACAAAAAGGTAAACATTTTAATTCTTATAACTTCTGTGCCACAATACGAAATATAATAGCTCGAAGCACTTGGGTAGAATAAGACGGAGAGAGGCTTTTCATGCTAATAAATCAAAATTATAAACAACAAATTCAATGTTGTTGACAATAAGGCCTCAATACAACTATTCGTACTCTGTGGACGCGCGTGTTGCATATGAAAAAATGGAAGGCGCTCTGGTTACTCTAGTCCGTGAAGCTGTGCACGTGAGAATGTTTGGTGCGCCTGTATGGATTTGTAACAAGATGAAATTTGCGGATAAAAATTCAATCGGTTTCTGTTAGACGGGCGTGAGTCCAAAAACTTATGAGCCCTGGCTTTCGTTGATCACGCAGAACGCTGGGGCTCGTGAGTTTTTGGACTTACGCCCGTCTAACAGGAGCCGATTCAATTAATGGGAGAGGACAAAAAGGATATTTTCGCACCATTCTCACACATTAGGATATTATATTTCACCGCCACACCGAGTCGTGACAGTGTGTCACTGCGAGCACTGCCTCACTAGCTAGAATGACCGGAGCGCCTTCAATTTTTAGGACGCAACACGGATGTTCAATGTTCATGGAGCACGAATACTTTTACCAGGGCATTTTTACCGATAACATAGTCCGATGCTCGGCAATCAATACTGAAGTGTTAGATAAAAAAGTCGTTGTGAGCTCTTTTTTAAAAGTTTTAGAGAATTTTCTACGCATTCTGATCTAATGATTCTAAAAATATCTAGAAAATATATTCCTAACTTTCCTCAAAAATGATGTTTTAACAAAAGAAATTTGGCATAGTCTGGATCTTCAGACGATGTTTTGCCGCCGCGACAAACTTGCTTTGGCCGCAGCCAAGCCTGGCACAGGTGGTCTGGGACACCTTATCATAAACTTTGCAACGCTGTATCATGACTGATTGCTAGATCGCTGTATCAACAATAGTCTCAATACCCGAGTAACATCAACTGACGTTATGCCTTAGAAAAAAAATAAAAAATGGATTACATTTGTATATTTAATCGAAAAAGTTCAAAAGAATATCATTTTGAATAGTAAAAATGCAAGTCTTGCAGCGCTGTATTGCCGAAACGAGTTTTGAACTTATGCTAAAACTTTCATCGGAGGATCGTCTCATCAATGTGTGGATTGTCGTCCACGCGTTTCCAAAAAAGGGGCACTTTTTTGACAGGCTCTTTGATGAGGAAACATATGTCATTGTGTTTCAATTAGCACCTTGTTCAGTGGTCTGGTCCACCGCTCTAACTTCTGAATCAAAATCGTAACCCGATGAGCCAAGATGCCAAGCTTTTATCTAATCTTCCAATTTTTTTTTTTCACAGCCTTTAGCTTACACTGAAGACTTCCGAGTTGAGCACGTAGGCGAGATCGTTAAACTGCACATCTCTAAAGTTTACCCGGAGGATGAAGGGGTTTACGCTTGCATCGCCTTCAACGACGGTGGCAAAGCATCCACCTCTGCCGCTTTAACTGTTGATGGTAAGACATGTTATTAAATAATTTATTTAACTGTTGAAAAACGAAAATTTACCAAATGTTTTCCTTGTCAGGATATTTAGTATCACATGTTATTTCTTTCCCACTTTCAAATTCAGCCCAGATCTTTCATCTCAAGATGAAACATTTCAATCCTCGTCAGCCCTCTGAAAGAGATCACATGTAACCTGAGAGATACCTCACTGGAAAAAAAAAACACATTGGATCTAGAGTCCAGACTCTTAAAAACATCGACAAGAAAAAATACTCTTGATTCAATCAGATTTAAGCTTAAATCAAGAACTGAGCCTCTTAATTTGAGCGGATTTCCTTTTGATTTAAGCAAAAACCTGATTGAAACAAGAGTATTTTTTCTTGTCAATATTTTCAAGAGACTGAACTCTAGATCCAATGTGTTTTTTTTCCAGTGCTCCCTCGTATGAAGGACAGTACCTTTTAGAGTCCTTGCCAAAGGAGGGAAGGTACTTTAAGTGAGAATGCGACAGGAGATCGTCTGATGTCATTCTAGCATGGAAAATAAATGCAAAAATCAAGATGTCAGACTTCTGTCACAGTCTAAAAGTTCCTTAATTCATTTGTCATGAACTCTGACAATCGCTGACTAAAATTAATCACACTCATTTTTGGTAAATTAATTGTAGGGCAATACCTAACGAAGCAACATTTTATACTTGTAAACTGTCTTACGACTTATCTAATTTGATAGAATCTTTTCTATTTGATATTTCATAAAAAGGGTATATATTCAAGAAAAGACATAAGCCATCTCATCTAAAAAACCTACGATTTAACTTAGTGTGTGCGAAAAATCCTTTTCAACCGTGAATTCGTTTTTTTTCCTCACTGCTCTCTAATAGAAAACTGCACTCCAGTATTTTTCAACTACAAAGTCGACTAGCGGTAAAGTCTCAGTATGAGACATTCTTGTCATGGATTTTTACAATCATTTTTTTCTCTCTCTTTGTTTAGCTCCTGTTGATAGAGACGCCATTCTTCAAAAGCAATTGAAATTGCCGGGCAGCCCTCGCTCAGGGAGTGTGACTCCGAAATCACCAACGCCGAAAATACCTTCGAGGAGTATATCACCTGCTGTTCTAAGTAAGAGATTAAGACGTATTTCTGTTTCGATTTTTCACCCTAATATCTGTGATTTTACGGTTTTGGTGCCTATCGAGGCTCCATCATATGGTACAGGGATACCCAAAAATTGAAAATTCAAAAAGTTGAAGGTCCCCGTTCCTTATCAATGAAGCCTCGGAAGATTCAGGGGCCACCAAATTCGGGTTATTTGGGACTGACAACACAGGAAAACCCCCCTCCCTATCTATACCTCAATTTTGATACCTGAGAAATTGTTATGGGCAACTCTGCGG